AGACACAGTCAGAGTAATAGGGGGAATTTCCTTTGTTGTGGTGCCAAACTGTCCTCCAGTTGCCCATCCTGAATTGGTTGTCCTGAGAGAGAGGACATTTGAGAGATCAGACTGGGACAGTCAGGTGGATCACCCCTCTCCATGGACACTCATATATGTTGATAGGAGGTTACTACTTGAACGTGCGAGTCAGCCGACTATCCTCCACAGAGTATATAACTTCCTTAGCGAATGTAGGCGCTATAGCCAAGTGGTTACGGCGACAGATTCGAACACAACAATCTGTTCCTCTTTGAGGGCGCAGGTTCAAATCCTGCTGGCGTCGTTTAGGCATCGCGCAGTTGCAGTTTCTTTTCTATTGAAGATTGAGCACAAAGGCCAGGCCTACCGCTCCACCGGTTTGCTAAGTATGTACATGGGATTCCTTCTCGGAAGGGCGAGTACATGTGCTTTTTGGAATGCAAACCAATTAAAACAATTGTTACTCACAGCCGACATCAGCATCGAGGGGTCCAAGGACGATGCCGAGAAGCTTCCCTCAAGCTGCGTGTCTCAAGAGACATCGTGAGTCGGGGAGCTAAAAACACACCTGAGGAACGTAATTGAATCGATAGCATTGAAGACACCGACACAAAGGACACCGCGTTCAGGGCAGTACCTTATAGGGACAGATACCATCTATGGCTGAAGAACGACAAGATGCCAGCGAGTAACTTATCATTGTTGTCTAGATGTGCATAGTTTAGATTACAACGTCGATTCTTCCATACCTATATCACGAAAGCGTAGTGTCCCGAAATCCACTCAATGGGTATACGAACTCAGCACCACAGCCGCGCCACACATCATCGCAAGCAACACCACCAGACTCGGCGCCAGCGCACTCAAACCCAGCGCCGCACTAACTGACCCCGGACTCGTGCTCCCCAGCATCCCGCGCTCCTTCCCCGAATGCCCATTCGACGTAGCAAGGACGGACGGGTCGACCGTAGCCGTGTGCACCGTCTTAGTAAACGCTGTCGTCTCGAACGTGACGGCGTTTGGGGTCTGTGAACCTGCGTTGTCGGCGGCGAGAGGATCGGTGAGGAAGACGAGGGCAAAGGAAGGCGCTTTGAGGGGGACGTGGCATTGGTTGGCGCTCTGGTCGCAGGGTATAGTGGTGATGTTGAGGTCGCCCTTGAGACGGCCGTCAACTTGGAATTTGTTGCCGAAGGTCTGGATGGAGAATTAGTTGAATGCGAGGCGAAAGAGATGCATCGAAAACTGTCACACCTGGCCTGCCCACATGAGATTTGTCCTAACTGAAACAGAGTCCGCAAGGAAATACCTAAAAGGAAGGCGTCAGCGAACGTAAGGAGACTCCATGGCAGACCGAACACTTACTTGACCCAGACCTGCGAGGGAACCTGCCCTCCATCCACAGTAACCGTAGCAGTGACGTCATGCGCACCCGACTTATCATCGATGAAATTGAACAAGGCGACCTTTGAAAGCGCGCCGTTGTCGTAGATGACGTACGAGGGGGTGTAGATCCCGCTATTGCTGATGTCGATGATCTGGGAAACGTTCGACTTGCCGAAGACTTCGGAGACGATGAGGACGGAGTAGAAGACGGCGCCGATGGTCCATTGGTTGAATGACGATTGGTTCGTGGGTGGAGCTGTGGAATTTGGAGTAAGTGGCGTCAGTGTTATGTCTAGTCCGCGCCGATTGGGGACGAGGGGAGATGTGTACCTGTGAAAGGCTGTCCAGAAGAGGTGACTCAGTATAGCACTTCCTCTTGGAGAGATGTAGTACGCACATTGTAGTAAACATTCTGACCACCAACATGGAGCAAAGCATGCGAGAAGTTTGACGCGGCCATCGTCAGTCCATAATCCAACGCCCAAAGCGCCGCACCGAAAGAGTCTGAGATACCAGGCAAGCCACCACACGTCGCGCTGTTCGTCTCGAACATGATGAACGGCTTTCCGAGGCCCTGAGCGAGGCTGCTCGAGTAGAGATACGGCTGGACCAGTTCCTGACCCGCTCGGTGGTCGAGGAAGTTCTTGAACGTCTCTTGAGGGTCGACGTAGGAGCCGACGCCGTATGCGACGTAGCAGTTGTTGCTCGGGTAGCTATGAACGAGTTCTTTGAGCAGACCGTTGAGTAGAAGGCGACGAATCGCATACGTACTGTTCCATTGTGATAGCAGTCAAGACATCCTTGAACCTATCGAGATAACCTACATCCCACACTTGTTGAGGCTGCCACGGTCCGCTCGCCAGACTTGGTCCAATAAGCATATTCTTGATTGGAATATTGGCGTTGTCGTTGACAGCCTGAACGAGGTTTTGGAATTCATTTGCGTATTCGGTCGGGCCGTACGGTTCGATGCGGTGCCCATGTCTATCAGCGGACGGATAAGGTGACTATGGTCGTGATCAAAGTGAAGGAGGAAGAAGAGGGTTTACCCGAGGTAATAATCTGGTTCGTTGCCGGCCTGCAGACCGATGAGGTGGTCTCCAAGGATGGCTTGGCCTTTTTCAGCAATGGTTAGGCGCCAGTTCGTGTCATTGAAAGGTATACCTGGGTTGGTGACGTGAGTTAGAGTCTTGAGTGGATTATGTGATTACATACCGAGGTACCATCGTACATTGACAAGGGAGGATATGTTCGCCGCGAGGTAAAAGAATTCGTCGCTATACAACACTGCGGGTGTGAGTGTCTAGAGTCCCAGTTGTCAGCATCTTATCAAAACACGAGAAATGGAAGGAGACACTAACGGGGTTTTTCGGATCCGACGTTTCTTTTGACGTTGCATGACCATTAGGGATCGAGTCGACCCAATACGCGAAATCCTGCGTGTTTCCGCCCATACGAATATGTACTCCCCCCGCGCGCTGTTGTATCTGAGCCATCAAGTTAAGGAACGGGACCTGTATATGTGAGCTATCCATAAAACTCCTCATCAGCCAAATACTTTCCCAAAGATTTATGAGCGGACGCACGCGTTCTTCCCCACTAGACTCGCGAAAGCCAAAAATGAGCTTCCCACATTCCCCTCCAATGTTTGTAAAATAACACGTACTGAGCTGCGTAACGACCGACATCTCAATCGAAAATCCATAGAAAGACCCATGCTGCATGATCGAGATACCCGGAACACTCGCATTGCTCGCGGGCAGGTTCAAAGTGTACGCCAGCGGCTGGTCTTGCGGCGGCGGCGGGGGTATGAGGATCGTCTCGTCGTACGCGGCGAGGGGTTTCGTGCTCGGGCCTGTGGGTGTGGGTGTGGGGACGGAGACTGCGCCGTTAGCATCGGTGAGTGTCACTGTGGGAGAAGGGAGGCCGCTCGTTTGGCCAAAGGGGACTTGGCCGTAGACTGTTACTGCGTGTGCGGTGCTGAGTAGGCTGAGAGGGAGGAGAAGTTGAAGGAGTGGAGGTGAGAGCATGGTGAGAGGTCTCGCTCCTCTGGATGAAGGAAGGGGAAAGGGGAGAATGGGGAGGTGGAATTGAGAAATTGGACAATGGAATGGTGGGACGGCGGGCTTGTCATCATGAAATTGGGTGCGCCAAGGCCGATCGCGATTTGTTTTTTTCTATGCCCAGACAATCTTGGGTCCGTACAAAACGCGCGCCAGTGCCTCGCAGATATGACATTCTCTTGGTACTTACTGGCCGTGGGTCGAGCCTTTTTCTCGTCAGGTTACTTACTTTAGGCCGAACGTCGAGACTCGAAAGTCGGAAAATGATTCAGATATCTCCGGCAATGCATATGCCGAGTATTCATGCATGGATGTTTACAACTCTCTTTGCTGCAGTGTTCAATCAACGAAAGGAAGAGTTGGACTCTGGGGCATGGATAAAATTGAAGAGTGATGGTCAGCGCTAATAGTAACGAGATATACGCTATTAGAGTTGTAATCATAATCAGAAATAACCCACTCTGTCCGTCGCTCTGTTCACTAGTAATATTAATGGTTCAATCATTTAGCAATATCGCAATAGAGTAGACGCTATAGCCAAGCGGTTACGGCGACAGATTAGAAATCTGTTCCTCTTTGAGGGCGCAGGTTCAAATCCTGCTGGCGTCGTTAGGCATCGCGCAGTTGCAGTTTCTTTTCAATTGAACATTGATCACAAGGCCAAACCTAGGCTAGCACCGCTTTGCTAAGTACGTAATGCAAAAAGGACTAGGATTCCTTCTCGGTTTGCCACTCGGTCACCGTCACATCAACCCCCTTAAAAATATCTTTATCCAGCACGCAGACCAGCCTCTCCCATGATGACTGCACAAGAAGTCTATTTGTGAGGCGTTATAGCCAAGTGGTTACGGCGACAGATTAGAAATCTGTTCCTCTTTGAGGGCGCAGGTTCAAATCCTGCTGGTGTCGTTTGAAGTCGGTTGTCACTTTTTTCTGTTGCTTCCCTCTCTCTCTTTTCTTTCGTATGGCTTGGTACGGCCCCCCTGCACACTGTTCAACTACGTCTCTAAACTCAGGTGATTTAGGAAATCTTAATCTCATGATCACTTCATATGGGGAACAAGTTCTGAATATCATCACGGCAGAAGCTCAGCGTTCCACACGCGTTTGAATCGGACATGAGGAATGGAATTCGAAGAAGACAATATTCGAGCGGGTGGTTTCACGCCGGTGTTATTGGCTCGTGAGATGTCTTGTGAGCCCTCCCTGTGGAGAACGAATTCGAAGCACTCGGGGGGGGAGGCTCCCAATTGCACTGCCACGTTCCGTTCACCAACTCGCAGACTCGCACACACACAAAGTTAAATTTTTGCGAACGAACGTGCATCCTGCATTGAGCCATTGGAGAGAAAAAGATTAGATTACCCATCGATCGATCCACGCAAAAAAAATGACAATTGGATCGATCGTTTCCACTGAACTGCCACCGCGAAACATGCATAGAAGGCATCGGGACCCGGCTTACCCGGCCCTGGGAGTCAAGTTCTTGGTGATGGGGAAGAACATTTTGTATATATCGGCACGCGATCACTACGTTTTCCCTTTGCTCCCTCTTTACCCCCCTCAGGCGGCTACGCCTGCGAGCCTACTTTCCTTTCTCTTTACTTCAATTCGTTGATACGACATGGCCACGGTGGAGGAACATATTCCGGCTCACCAGAGCAAGACTCATAGGACGGAACCGGAGTCTGCGAGTGCGAGTGCAACTACGCGGTATAACCCTGACCTGGCCGAGTTCGAGCGCTCGGGGAGCAAGGAGAAGCCTGCGTTTATGCTCACAAAGTCAGAGTTCAAGCTGCTTGGTATTGCTGGGGTGTGTCTGCCGTTTTTTTTTCCAAAGTGGAATGTACGAGATTGA